GGGGCCAATTATCTTTATCTTGTGATTCTTCTTTGATGATGAAGTAGGAAATCTTTCTTTATTTGTAGAATACACAAGAAAAATCTGGTGTAGTAACTGAAAGTCTGTTCTTTTGGTTAACCTCTTAAAAGCAGCTAGGCAATTTATGTCTTCACAGCCTGTCAATCTGCCCAGTGCTCACTCCTTATTTAATCACGTAAAGTGTCAGTGATTTCATAAACTGGGACTTTGAACTAACAAATTGAACGCCAAATGATTGAACTATGAACCATGGAGATCTGTGTTAGTAAATGTCTCTTATGGCTATAAATGCAATTGAAAGACCTAGTTTCTCAGTTTTGTTAAAAAAAAAAAACTAGCTCAAAACCAGTACGTGACCCTATAGTTTGTGAGAGATTATAAGAGGCAAAAGACACAAAAAACATTTATTTGAAGGGACTTCATTTCACACAACTAAAATATAATAATCCATTGGGTTTTAAAAAACTGATTAATGCAAAGTTCTATACAGGGCATCTGACAGGATGCGGTACTGCGGATCCGCATAATTCGCCTACTTCCGCATCCTGCGCATCCTTGGGGCATTTTTCCGCATAAAACTAGAAAATTTCTACATATAAGCGAGAAAGCAACTCTTACCATCCTCAGAAGCAAAAATAGCGAAAAGATTGATAATTTTGAACAAGTTATTCACCCAAAAACCACAGATTGACAGCGACGAAAATTCGCATTTCGTTCGTGAACAATTTTAAACCGCCAGGCGTTCCATTCATCCTAGAACATTTTGGGATGCCTGGTGTCCAGTTTTCCTCGTCCGATTTAATGGCTGGTTACTAAGCTTCGGACATACTCGACAACGAAAACTATGAAAAAACTACTTTGAACGAAGACATACCTGTCCACGAATGGCAGCAAAAGGTCAAACATGTCGTAAAGGACTAAAATTCTCGGTAATACGTTAATGTGTATTTTATACGTTGGAAAAAGCCAAGAGAACAACTTTATTAAGTTTTAGAAATTTCCGCATAATCTGGCGTCTTTTCCGCATAATCGTCACTAATTTCTTCCGCATAATATTGCCGAAAATTTCCGCATAATTTTCCGTTTTTTTCCGCACCCTATCAGATGATCTGTCTATAGGTAACGAAAAGGGAAAGGAAGGTGAAACCAACAATTGAGAGACCAAGGGTTTCAACCATAGTCTGAGATTAAATTGAATGAAGCTACAAGTTTGTGCATTCACATCCCAAGTGGAAACTCCAATATTTGTCCATGACGTTTCGATAAATGTTACAAAGCAATTAAATTTACGAACATCAAATCCTTTTGTCTTTACTCAGACACTTAGCTCTGTTTTTGCACTTATCAATCTTTTTAACAAGCACCCAAAGATAAGTATTCCTTTATGGAATATAAGAGTTGCTGTACATAGTAGATATTTCCTCTGTATTCTGTTGAACATTTCCTGAACTTTTGAGATATATAAAAGTGTGAAGCTAAGAGGTAATGGTTACAAGAATTAATTTCACATGATGAGGATTTTATTTCATTTACAGGATATTGAAAGCTATAGAATTACATTTATGCAATTTAAGTAAGCATGCAGGTTTACGTTTGGTTATCTTTATTTATACACGATATGTATGAAAGCTAAAAGCTTTTAGGGTCGTGTACAATAAAATACTACTTAATTAAAATCAAATACAGCTTTAGAAGCATTAAACAGAATTAAAGCAAATTAAAGTGTATTGAATGGCACAAGTGCGACATTGAAACAATCAATCTACATTTAGATGTATACAAAATCTTCAAGTTCAAAACTAGCGGTCAATGCTGATACTACGTTGAATTTAATGGACTTAAAAAGTTCTGAAGTTTTAAGTTTTTTGGCAAGTTCATGATGGCTTGCATCAACACGATCAGTATATTTGGAAGTCAGGGTATTCCAAAGCACAGAAATTATTAGAGAGGTTGCTAAAATTAACAAAACATGTTCCAGAAACACTTCATAATACACTTAAAGAGATAAGTGAGACTGAGTATTATAGCCAAGCAGACACCTCTTGAATCGAAAAATTGAATCAGTATGCTGTATGAGCTACTTTTGGCTCTTATTTAAACATGACCTTCAGACATGTACAAACCTACCATGTCATTGTTGTCTTCTTGATAGATGTCAAAAGTGGTACCATCCAATGATAACTGAATCTTGAAGCTTTTTGTCCACTCATTAATACCATTAGCTCCTTGAGTAGCAACAGCACAGATGACATATTCATACAGCAGGTCAATTTGTAGGTAGTCACCATCTTTACTTCTAACCTTGGGAGCCCATCCCCGTTTACTTCCTTTAAGGCGACCAAAAGAGGGTTTATAGTAAGCATCATTAAAATAGGATGAGGCAGTGAAGCTGTTGTTTGGAATTTTACCATCAATAGCCAGACCAATGGCCTCCATTTCACAAGCTGCAAGACAAATTTGAAATCAGCACTCACATTTCTTCATAATTTCAAATAAGTGAAATGATTAATCCATTATGACTCCTATAGAATCTGNATAATGGCTAGCTGTGAGAAGCAATTATGCATGCCTTGCATGTCTTTAAAGGTTACGTCTAATATAATGTCCATGTCACAGATGGTAACAGTTAGGGCTAGTCTGCTTCCAAAATAACTTATGAATTTTATCATAAAGTAAAAGAAATCTCAGCACAAATTTACACTGGAATAGGCCATTTTCAATAAATCAAAATTCAAGCTTGGCTCTGAGGTTTGGGGGAATAAAACAAAAGAGATCACATCAAGGTTGAGGGATGAATAATCAGTTTCTTTTATTTTATTCCCCCAAACCTTGGAGCCATGTCAGAATTGTAATATATTGAAAATGGCCAATTGACAGAACCCATTATAACCATATCTCATTATGCATATAGTTCTTTGATGAAAAAAAACCAAGCAGAAGCAATTATAGTAATTTAATTTGATTTATTAAGCTTTGCCAACAATACGTAGAATATAGAACACGGGCAAATTACAATAACAAAAACGGGCAAGCAACCACAACAGCAACAGCCAATTATTGTGGTCCCAAGAGTATTAAAATAGTAAAACGGTTCCATCAATAATTAATAATTAAGAACAGCATGGAGTTGGTGTTGTTTTCAGGCTGCGACATGAATTATTTTTCGCACAGATAGTTTTATAGGTCCTGGGATTGTCAATGTCATAGATCTCTTGAAGTGTAGTCGAATAATAACACATCAAAGCAAGTTTGAAGTCATTTACATTGTTGATACTTACGTTAAGTATAGACTATAGTTGGAACTATAAAAGTCTTGTTTTTAAATAGAATCAGGGTAATACGGAAACCTTACCCATAAACTGGATAGCTAAACTTACCGAGTGGATAGTAGAGGTAGAATAATATCTAAGAGTGTTTTAAACTGAAACTGAAGCAAATGTCGCCACCCGATAGCTTAATTGAAACTCAATTATTCAGAGTTTAATTTCAATTTCGTACATTTCTCCATGCTTCCAAACTAAGCTAGATATAAAAGCAGATACATCTCCAACGGCACCGTTCAGTTTACCGTGACATTTTGACAAAAACAAATGCGACTCCCGAGGGATGCTCTTTTCTTTTTGATCTTGATGATTAAGCTGCGACCCGTGCGAGAAAGCCTACAGCACTGAAGCTGAAAAGAATTCTCCAACCAAGTACCCTGAGTGCAGAGAGTGAAATAAAAATATACCTTTCTATCATATTTCAAATGATGTAGTGCTCACCTGAAGCCAGAGGTAAAAGTACAACGAGAAAAGCTACCCGGAAACAAAGCTCGGGATTAAATTGGGCCATGTTACGACTGGGTATATTACGGTNATGCAATTCAAGACTTTTTATTGGCTTAGCCATTATGGTATATGAGCCAATATACCATGATCTAATGTCAGTACATTGTAACATCCGGTTTCTTCTCACAAAATAAAGTCGAGAAGATTTGTCTAACATCTTGGGGGCGTGTTTTTTAATAAAACAATTATTCCACTCGCGCTTGTTGGATATGAGATGATTATAGCCAACCAGGCGCGCCTCGTTGGCTATCTTTCATCTGATATCCAACGCGCGCTCGTGGAATAATTGTTAATTATTATATGGCTGTGTCTCACAAGGACTGGGAACTACCGAACTCACGAATTTGATTGGCTGAAATCAATATTGAAAGCGGTCTAGATTTTCCCATCTAGACCGGTATCTAGACCGGTCTAGAAAAAAAAAAGGGACAAAGAATATAAAAAATTGGCATATAAGACACGTGCAGCCATATGAACATCTTATTAACCGAGCTAGGTCGGTCTGTATGGGAGAATCTTGACCTCGGTCGCTGGTACAGACCTCACTGCGTTCGGTCTGTACTGGCGACCTAGGTCAAGATTCTCCCATACAGACCTCCCGCTCGGTTAATAAGAACTAAGTAATGAATTTATTATTTGAGTATTAAACCCACTTAAATCTTTTTAAGAATACAGTAATGGACTGATCATTCAAATATTCAACCCGATTGCCGTGTTCCTTTTGAAAAAGTGAGGGTCATTGTTTAAATCAGAATCGATTTCTTTCATTTCATTAATTCAGTCTTAAAGCGTAGGCTTCACTTGGTTTGACTGTATTGCTTTCTCCCGAGACATGCGCTTGTGACACCTGTGGTAAAGGATGAGCGCCTCGAGGTGTTCATAGTGGCGCTTAGAGTCTGTTCTTTTTTAATTTTTTTACCTATGTAAAGAGAAAAAAAGCAAATGAATTCAAGCCGGCTGAATCTTTATGACTTTACCTAAAAATTACATCAGCGACAAAAAAACCGCTCGACTGAGTTAGTAAGGTATTATTTATAAAACATAAATCCTGAACATTTTAGGGTTTCCGAAGCAATCGCTTTCTTCATACAAATCCTCAAAATTCTTCTTTTGCGTAGTACTAGTAAAGTACGGATTTACTATTTTAAAACAAACATAAGTTACCGGTGATTAGGGTGGAGAAAGAAAAATTGTATTTGTGCAAGAGCTGTCGAAAAATCTAATTTTCATCGGATTTCTTGAGAATTCTTTCCCCGTGCGCATTTTCGAGAAACCTGGTCAGAATATCCAATGCATTAAAAACCGCTCGACTGAGTTAGTCAAGTATTATTTATAAAACATAAATCCTAAACATTTCAGGGTTTCCGAAGCAATCGCTTTCTTCATACAAATCCTCAAAATTCCTCTTTTGCGTAATACTAGTAAAATACGGATTTACTATTTTAAAACAAGCTTGGGTTAACGGTAATTAGGGTGGAGAAAGAAAAATTGTATTTGTGCAAAAGCTGCCGAAAAATCTAATTTTCATCGGATTTCTGGAGAATTCTTTCCCAGGGCGCATTTTCGAGAAACCTGGTCAGAATATCCAATGCACTAAAGGCATCGGACAAACTTCACATTTTGTCCTAGTTTTCAAACTCGTGTTCTTCTGCAACAGCTCTTACCACGCAGAGATCAGCAGTACTAAGAGAGAACGACTGGATCTTGCTTGGTAATCCGCTACTAAATGCGATGTTAACAGCTAGAAAAGAATGCACTATTGGGTTATAAGAATCGTGCATTGTCTTGAAGAGTTATCAGCCGAGGGGTTACTCACATAACAAGTTTAAAGTTCTTGTCGATAAACTGTAATCTCAAGTTAAGGGGTCTTCCGCGTGGTTTCCTCCAGCGGTGCTGCTCGCGTTAAGGGCGCAAGCTAATTCCTATAATTGAGAATATAGGTTACCTTCTCAAACGTAGAAAATTAGGGTTTGCACAACATGGCAGAATGGCAATACATCCGAACTCGCGACGGTATTTTGCGACAGGCTACGTTGCAGCCACAACGCAGGGCAAGTAGATATGTTGTGAATATTTAACCAACTGTAGCTCTGCGACAAGCCTGACAATAAAACTGTACATTGAATGGATGCAGTTTTGCGTTGAGTGTCTGATTTAAAAAAAAAAATGTCACCAGTCTGGAAAGTGCTATTGCATGTGGAGAATTAGATAAAAGAGAGATGGTATAACGCGATTAGACACGTCTTGTCGTGAATACCTTTTATTCTATTATCTGCGAATATTCTATTGCTTCTGTACATTTAAAATCTATTTATGTGTTATTGCCTTGGAACAATCTTTCCCAGCATTGTCTCCTATCTGTAAATAATCGATAATCTAAATATATCTTATGGGGTGAAAACACTCTATCATCTATTCTCTTATCTAAACGCCTAACAAAAAAATTCTGTTGCCAAGATTTTTTAATTTGCTCTATAGTAAGAAAGCAAAGCAATATATTGTTTTCACAGTTGAGAAGAATTTACTGCGCATATCAATATATTGAAAACATAACCTATGTCCAGTACGCGACTAAGAAAGGTAATATACGAGTTAAAGAAATATCACTTAATAAAGCTTTGCTATATGTCTTTATCTAATGGCTCTCATTAGATTAGTTATCATCCGATAACAGTAGTTTTTGTGTGATTGTCTTTTAAGAGGTTTGGTTTAGTTTGCGATCCTCACCCAAATTTAAAATATTGTAATTACCTCTCATCCGAAATATAACGAAAGGCTACGATCGAGATGCACGAGATTACTTAGTATGGCATTTTAAAAAACATCAACAGCAAAATATATAATTACACACATACAAGAAAAGTCTAAGAAAAATTTAAGAAATGAATTTGGAATAAACTGAATCAAAGATTGCTGCACGTCAAAGAGGCCCTGAGGCCCTACTTATAAACTTCCTTGGTGGTCATTCCTAGAAGAAAGAGAATGCATTCGCCGCCAGGATTTATCAAGGATGTTTTTGAGATCAGTTTACATCATATAATTTCTTTACTGTGATTTTGTATAACCCCTTCCCATATGCCACCATGATACTAATAGTGATCATGACGATGATAAGGAGGAAGCCACTCCAAACGCATGGCACTTAATTGCCAAATTTTTCATTGCTTCTTTCAAAGACACAAGAACAAAAGGTGTGTTACGAACCAAAGTACCATTTCTAATAAACAATTAGACTCCATGTTGCCGTTCGTCTGTTGGCGTCAAAATGCAATGAGAACACAAAAGTGACACACGAAGAGCAGCCGAAAAACAGAATGGATAATCTGAAATAAACAGACACAAAATCAATTTTGGGATTATCATATTTCCTCATATACTTCTTCATTTCGTTTCCCGCCATTTTCCTTCTGAAGCACCATATTGTAATATCCCTGTTTCTCAGGTTTTTCCTGTAACGACTGATACTCAGTAAGAACTTGAGACTCCTGAATCGAAGGCCTGGGTTTGAGTTCCATATATGTGTTTGGATCTGAAGCATGTTCGTCACTTGACTGTTGATCAGGTGAAGATTTGACGCCATCAAAGTCAACTCTTTGTTTCCTTTGTATCCTTTTATGAACAGCTCGTCTGTACTGCCATATCAACCCACAAATTATAATGAGCAACACGACCACAATACAAGACAGTGCGATCACACCAGCAAAGAAGATGCTTTGTGTATCTGGTAAAAGAAAACAAACGGCTTTAGAACAAGCTATCAAACACTGAAAACTGCTTGGTTACTCTGTTTCAATGCAATAATGTTGTCTTTTTTAAACAGTTTCACCCTAAGGAATACGGCGTTTCTTTTAACTTCGAAGTATGAAAACAGTTCTAAACTTTCTGTTTTCTCGTCTCGAGGTCGGACTCCATTAAGGCAAGAATTTTCCAATTCCTAATGACTCGAGATTTCGTTATCAACTCACGCATATATGACTTCTAGTAATCTCTAAGAGAAAAGATTTAACCTTGAGCTCTCTCAGCAATGGTACATAGCACTCTGTTTTGATTTAGTTACAACCAAATAACTCAATTTTCATATAAGAAATGATCGACCTAAACACTAAAAAATTTTCTATCAGAAGAAAGAAAATATAACTTCCTCCTGAACAACGTCTGTGTATCAAGTCAGTACATAACGTTGCTTTTGATACATATATCAGTTTTAACCTGTGTAAATAGCTTCATAAAGAAGCCCAAAAACTTCATACCGGACTTGAAAGTTCTAAGCTTTCCAAAATGTTTGAGACGAAACGTTTTGGCGCGTTCGAATGTGAGGAAGAATATTTACCGTCATCAACTTGATTATCCGTAGGAGCAAGCAGGGTGATTTTATAAGCTGTTGACCCAAAGCTGTTAGCAGCGTGACATACATAATCCCCATAATCTCGTCCATCCCGTGGCGTGACAATGATACTGTTATTCAATAACTTCATGTTATCACCCGTTGGAACCTGACCATCTTTCGTCCACGAGAAGTTCAACGGAATATAACTAGTTGCTTGACATGAGAGTAAACATGGAGTTTGCTTTTTACACATCACTGAAGAAGGGGAAAGCTCTTCGATAATTCTGGGTGGCACTGTGTGAAAAGAAAGAAAAATCTTGTGAGACCATAAAGAATTTTGACAAAATCATGCTCAAGTCAAAGGAGAAGAGTATACCAAAAATATGGGGACACTTCCGTGATGTAATTTTGCTTTGAACATTTAGTGGTGGTTTGCTGTGTTGTTACTGATGCTTTTAATTTCAACCTTCAAATTCAACAAGATGTCAATGACCTGTAAAAAGTGGCCCGAGTATTTTCGAGACCTGTTTCTATAGTGATCATCGCGGCGCTTAGTATAACCATAGTTGTTCAGTAACTTTGGTAGAGGTTGGCAAATTCTCTAACTTATTGTTAAAACTAACTCACCGACTCTTCCACATATTTACTTCACAGAAGATATAATTATACAATTGTTAGGAAATGTTCAGTGTAACTGTAAATCAGTTTCTACGTACCAGCGATAATGACTATCGTAGCTGTACGGCTCTCCCCAAACATATTCACTGCTTTACATTCATAAACGCCACTGTCACCAGCAACAACATCTTTTATAATAAGTACTTTGCCGTTGTTCTCCAACTGAGCGCGAGGTATACTGGTAAGACCATCTTTGGTCCAGGTAACAGAAGCCTCAGGGTCTCCACTAACCTCACAAGTCAACAC